ACGAATGGTCTGGCCAAGATCATCAGCGGGCTCATCTTCTGCCACTACCTTTTCTTTAGCTTCCCCCATTGTAGTATCATTGAAGGCATCATATTCAGCAATAATGTCATCATCGTCCCATTGTTCTTCTTCACCTTCTTCTATTACAACCCCGGTTTCTCCGTGCTTCGTCCAACAAATATAGTTTGGCATGAAACCCGACTTCAACAAGTGTGAATGAAGACTCCTTGAGCTAGCATATTCCTTCAAATTCTTACATATGACACATGGGCAAACACATGAAACTATCATCGCGTTTGTTTGCTTCGCCACACGTGAAGAAAGAATGCACGCCCTCAATGAACTCTTGGGAGTGGCGATCAGCATTGTACATCCAATGCCGGCTCATCTGCATTACATGACATACATACCATATTAAAACCTAGAACATAATTAGTTAATTATATGACATGCATGCCACCACACAAGATATTAATTTATGAAAGTCTCGCTACAATATAGACAATCCCAACTACCAGTAAAAAAACTAAAGCTAAAATGCACTTCAGCAGCATAAGGATTTCGCGACCAATCCCAACTAAAACAGACAAATCATGCATTTGTTCAACATCTATGGGCTTCTTCCGCAGGAACACTGCCTCATCAGCCGCCGTAGCCGTCTGTGCAAGAGAGTTTTGCATGTGTTCAACATATTCTTCCTTCCAGTACCAGCCTGAACATCTAGTGCAATCCCACTGAAATTAAAATAAAAAACTAGAACTTTAATCACAATCATCATGAAAATAAGTATAAATGATCCATAATCATCAAATACGACAAAATAACTCACATTGCGATCCGAACACTTGTAGAAGATACGGTCTTTGTTGGGACACTCCTTCCTCACCCAGTACTCCATCACAATCTTTTCCTCACACTTGCCGCATGCAATGAGGGGGAGGTCCGGCCTCAGTCGCTTTGGAACCCGATGAGAGGCCGAGGACCCAGAAGCAGTTGCCATCTACTCTCTATACTCATTTTTAATATAATATAAATTTCTCATTTTATAAACAAATAAAATTAAAAAAACTCTAAAATTCTCTATATATCTAAATCATGAAGTTTGCTATACATGCTAGAAATGAAAGCTTAATACTAGTTTTGAATAACTACTTTAACCTTTCTTCATCCAAATATGCAAACTTTAAAGTGATTTTGAGCTTAAATGGCTTACAAATAAAAAAAATTCACCATAAAAAACCACATATATCTAGTCTACAAAATGAGATATGCTACTGATAAAATATGAGAGTATAAAGTTGGTAACCTTTATAGCCGAAGAATCGATGGAGGAATCGAAGAAAATCTTGTGATTACCGGCGATGAGGAAGAAGAGAGGCCGGCGATGAAGCAAGAAAACACTGAGCTCGAAGTGGCTCGGGCTCGGGGAGGAAGAAATGCTATATAGGAGGGGAACTGTAGTCCCGGTTGGAGACAGAAACCGGGACTAAAGGTCCATTTCTAGTTCCGGACGGAGCCTCCAGCCGGGAGTAGACTTTTACTCCCGGTTGGAGGTACTGACCGGGAGTAAAAGTTAACCTTTAGTCCCGGTTGGTAGCTCCAACCAGGACTAAAGGTCCCTTGCAGCAAAAGCCTGCCGCAGTAGCCGTTGGGCAGGGACCTTTAGTCCCGATTGGAGCTACAAACCGGGACTAAAGGTCTCTCTACTCTAGGGCGCAAGAAATACTTGGACTAAAGCCAAATTTCAAGGCGGGATCAAATGTCGTTTCTCTACTAGTGTGCAGGTAGCTGGCAATAGGACCCTGACCGGGTAGGTTTAGTAGAGCAAGCTAACCTAATAAGCAACTGCCAGTTGGCGATACTGGGTAAGTTTAGTAGAGCAAGCAAGAAAACCTAATAAGCAAGTGCCAGTTTGTGATGATACAACAGTCGTTCGTCGGCCCGCCATACCCGGCCGGAAGGCTGGCCGGAAGCACAAGGAATTCAGTTCAGAGAATCAAGCTCAGATCAAGCCACATTGGATAAATAAAGTGTGCAGGGCCAGCAAATTTGGACGAGCGATGATGCCGCGAGGTAGCTAGAGGGCAGTGCAAGAGCAGTGATGAACAATGATCACCTGCTCGATTAACGCTAGCGGAACACCTAAGGCGGATCATGACGGCGCGTGCGTGGATCCAATGATGAGAGCTCTCAGAGCTGATCATAGTCCAGGTAGATAAAGGTCGAGGAGGCTCAAGTTAAGCGGGCAACCGATTCGTGAGCCATCAAATCCCAGGCAGGCAGTTGGGCAACAGACGCGAAAGGCGAAGCCAGTCTTCTTGGATTCGGAGGCCGAAAAGATGAGCTGAAACTGAAAGCCTGAACGTACTCCGAACGAATAAGTTTAGTAACCACGATGGATGGTGGAAACAAAAATTCCACCGGGTCACGAGGCGCGGCGATTCCACGCATGACGCATGCGCAGTGCCCGTTTGGACCGGCGCGCGGGCATAAAGCCGCCAACAGAGCGCTCGAGACATGCGCCACCGAAGTAACAGTCGTCGGACGGACACAAACGGCTCCATCGATCGGACCCCACGGCAGAACATGATGAACAGCGAAGATGGGATCCACTGAAACTCCAAAGTGAAGCGCCGGGTGAGCGCACGTACGCGAGTACGTACGTGCGTGCGTGCAGGCTGCGGCGGCACAAGTCGAGCATGCATGATGCGGCCATGTGCCCAGGGCCGGCTTTTCGTTGCGCGCCATCATCGTGTCGACTCGCTGGTCGCTGCACCGTACCGATCGGACCCCATGCCAATTGCCAAGCCATGCATGTCTTTCTTCCTTCCTTTCCTGCTCGTGAGCTCGTCCATCCATCCACCCAATCCGGCCCTGCCCTGCCCTGTTGTTGTTGCCCTCTAGCTGGCGGCCCTGGCCAGCACCAAGCAGCAGAGCAGCAGCGCCCACTCGCTCACTAGCTATGCAATAGCATGGCGACTGCCCGAGCATCTCTCTCTGCCTGTCTCGGATCGTCTCATCGCGCGCTGCAGTGTCGTTCTGGGGTGCAGTTTCTCCTCGCCCTTTTCTTAGACGGATTCGGTGCGTGCTAGCTCAAGATCACTGTGCCTTTCGCCGTGCGTGAGCTGTCCAGACTGCACGCTCCCCGGCCGCCTAACTGTACTGTACTAGGTCTATTCTATCGCCGTCTCATCGTCGCTGTAAGAATCTCTACCCATCATTTGAGATTTTGAGTGAGCATGCATGTATACGTGCCTACGTACTGTACGTAACGTACTTGACAGGAAGGTGAGATGTCGAGGAGAATAGCAAGCTTGCCGACTGATCTCAACACCTGTAAGTTTTTATTTCGTCGTTGTGTGCGCCGTGCTAGTCACCCTGTGACCTGTGAGGTGCCAGCCGGCAAGCGCTACGGCGGCGGCCGCGTGGCGGCGTGCATGCGTCACCGCCCTTGACGACGCGCGGGGAACGCGACCGAACGAGCGAGGCGTAGGAGTATGCTACGCTACACTCGCAGCACAAAGCGGATGTACGTGCAGCCGTCTCATAGGTCGGCGTGCCACTTGTCACCTTTACTTGAATGCGTCACCAAAACGGGTCTGTGTCGACGTCCTGACGCGTGGGCTCATGCGTCCGTCATCGGCGCTGACTCCTGGCTCCTGGCAGGCCAGCATGTCTGTGCCAACGCTGCATGGGATCGGTCGATTACCGGAGCACAAACATGACAGGGGCTTGTCACCTGTGGGCATGCCTGCACCTGGACGCACAGCATGGCACGGCAAGGGTGGCACAGCGTGCGCGCGGAGTCCCGCCATGTAATCTACAGTAGCTGCTGATCCGGACGTTCCGGCCTCACTGAGCAGAGATTTGTCACGTATCACACCCCACGACGCAAGAGAACAAACGCCATGTAATCAGGGTACGAGCAGCTCTGCATCTGCGTGCCTGTCCTGGTTCAGCGCATAGTTAGGAGGAGTACGTGTTGATTGGGAAACCGATTTGATTGGAATCGCCCATCAGGACGGCGAATCCGGCCTGCTGTTACAGTAGTAGAAAGAAACGCTGATCTCGCCGTCCTACCAACGGCATACGGACGGGACGGCCTCCAAATCCGGCAGCAAGAATCTGCTGTGCACTGGCAAGGCCATCTTCTGCAACATCGCTTTCCCTTTCAATTCCCCACCCTGAAATCAGCCAGCCGGCGATCTCGCAAAACTGGATTTCTGTCGCGATAACCGCTACTGCCGTAAGATTTCCATTCCATTCCACGCAATTTGGCGACTCGGCGATTACGCCGTGATTTGGCAAAGGCTGCCTTCTCTGCTTGCTGGCTTTATCTTCCATACATAAGCATGCCTTTCCTCTTTATTTCGAAAATAAATACACGGACATGTCTCCTTTCCTTACTTAGAAATTAGAAAATTAAAACAAAATAGTTAATAAAATAAAATAACACATGTCTTTCTGATCCAGTTCGTCCGAAGCCACGGATGGATGAGAAGTGAGACCCACATGAACACGCCCGAGCCCATGGCCCACGGGGACAGCGAGCAAATCTCGTCCCAGAAACCCGATCGGACCGAACCCCGGCGTGCAGGGAAGGAGATCATCATCCTCGCTCGACCCGGCAATCAATCACGCTTGCCAAATGCCAACGAAGCGCGCACACCCGACCCAACCCAACCCAACCGCGTTTTATCCACGGGCAGCGTGCGCAGCGCCAGCCAGCGGCCTTTTGTTTTGTTTATAAAAGACGCCGCCTCCCTCGCCTCGCCGTCACGGACGCAGCCAAAAAGCTCTGCTCCGGCCACCTCTTCTTCAGCTTCGAGTTCGATCGGGGAGTAATACGAGCAGCCGAGCACGCGACGCGACAAAGCTCGTGGCGAGAGGTGGAGGCGAAATGGCCGCTGCTCCTCTTCCCGGTGCGTAGCAGAACATCGTGGGCCGTGCGTGCGTGTCCTTGCTCGCCGCCGCTGCTGCCATCAAGCAAGGATCAAGAAATGGCGTCGCGCGGCCACCTGCTGCTAGCGCTGCTCGTGCTCGCCGCGACGGCGGCGGCAGCCAGCGGCGGGCGGCACCAGTCGCGCGTGAGCAAGCCCGCGCGGCCGCGGCTGGAGCTCGTCCCCGCGGCGCCGGACGCGTCCCTGGCCGACCGCGCGAGGGACGACGTGCACCGCCACGCGTACATCCGGTCGCAGCTGGTGTCCCGCCGCGGGCGCCGCGCCGCCGAGGTGGGCACGTCCGCGTTCGCCATGCCGCTCTCGTCGGGGGCCTACACCGGCACGGGCCAGTACTTCGTGCGCTTCCGCGTGGGCACCCCCGCGCAGCCGTTCGTGCTGGTGGCGGACACCGGCAGCGACCTCACCTGGGTCAAGTGCCGCGGCGCCGGCGCCGCCGCCGGAACCGGCGCTGGATCGCCGGCGCGCGTGTTCCGCACCTCCGCGTCCAAGTCGTGGGCGCCCATCGCGTGCTCCTCCGACACGTGCACCTCCTACGTGCCCTTCTCCCTCGCCAACTGCTCGTCGCCGGCCAGCCCCTGCGCCTACGACTACCGGTCAGTACTCAGTACCTCCCCCGCCTCACTCCCGATGCCCTCCAGCCATTGCCCTGCTTCGCACTCACGCCGATCGATCGCCTCGTGCCGCTCGACCCACTGGCACGCACGCGTGCTCCGCACTCCACCGGATCTCGTCCTCGTCACGGTACGGCTTGCTTGGTGGCTGGCTCCGGTTCCGGTGGCGACACGGCCGGCCGGGCTGGCTTTGCTGCCCCAACTCCCCAAGCAGGCAGCGGCAGTAGTAAGTGTTGGTTGGTGGGCGGGTTGGTCAGGATCTCGCGCGCGCCATTACTCGCGCAGCTTTTTTTACTGCGCTCCTGCTGCTGCCGGTCTCGCCGCGGCATGGCAGAGCGCGGCATTCAATTGCTTCGCTCGGCAGGCTTGCTGGGGTTGCTAGTGTGGACACGAGTTCGTGCTTGGTTTCGCTGACTGGGATCCATCTCCATGCGCCTTGTGCTTTACTCTACTTGCATTTCACTGCGTCTCCTGCAAATTTACCGCTTGCTAGTAGGATAGTAACTTGTGAGCGTACGTGAGCGAGACATTCAGAAGAAACTTGCCGGCCTTGGTTAGATTCTAAGTAGAGAACACGATTCACATCGACAAATCTTTAACACATGCAGAGGAATATTAAATATTGATAAAAAAACAAGCAGCAGCAGCCAGCAGTTTGATTGTAAAGTCGAGGTTGTCCAGGCTGTCGTCTGGTTGCGGCCGGGACGGTAGAGCAATAAGAGGGCACAAACTGACGACAGTCTTTTTATACAAATTGATTTCTAACAACCCATCTAAACCAGGCCTAGAGTAGAGAACACGATTCACGGCGACAGTAGAGTAGATTCTAGGGAATGACCAACCACAAGCAGCAGCAGCCAGCAGTACGTTGTACGAGTCGAGGTTGTCCAGGCTGTCGTCTGGTTGCGGCCGGGACGGTAGAGCAAGAGGGGCACGCACACATTTAATCTTTACCGGCCCCTGCCGCATCCCCCTGTGCCGCGCGCGATCTGGACGACGCGACGCGGAGGAGCTCGGCCCCGATCGTGGGTGGCGCGCACGTTGCCGTAGGTAGGGCGGCGTCGCGGCCGCCGATGCGCTGTCGCCTGCCTCCGGCCTCCCGGTCTGTTTAAAAAAATGGAGCAACTTGTTCGGCCGCCGCCTCGCGTCGCCGAACCGCCCGCGACATGTGCTTGCTCCTCAGGTTGGCTCGGCGGACGCCGCCCCCGTGACCCTGCTTGTGGCAGGTTGGAAACGTCGAGCGTTGTTGAGATACACGGACGTGTTGGAACTTGGACGTCTTTGGTGCTGCTCCGATCCAAGCAACGTGGCATCGGTGCTTGTCCAGTCCGGCGGTCTCTGAAACTTACCGTGACTGGACTATGGGCTCCAGTACCGTACTGTTGCTGCAGTGTAGTATGGTCCGAGGTCGAGGACGTACAGCGAACGCGTTGGCTGATTCAGCGTCTCTCTAGATAGGCACTGACTGCTCATCTTAGACAGGCACCGTCTATCTTTGGACAATCTCCTTGTCCAGCTCGGCTTTTGACCGGTCGGGCTCCGGGCACTACTGCACCGGTGGCATCTACCTGCGTAGCCTGCTTTCCAGCTATCACTTTACAGTTAAGTCTGGTTTAGTTCCTAAAAATTTTCATCAAAACTATCGCATTAAATCTAGCATGGAGTATTAAATATCGTTGAAAATCGCGAGGCGAATGTTTTTACAGTTATGCGCTAATTGGTCGACTATGTAATTAATTTTTTTATTAGTATCAAAAATCTCTTACATCAGTCCAAAAAATATCCCAACTGCACCGTACTCAGTAATATCCCAACTGAAAGATAATGGCAAAAAAAATGTGCTAATCTTAGAGACTCGGAGGCTGTCCCGGGCGTAACCATCGTATGAGCTGGGATTACTCTTTTCAGTCACTTTGCCGACTCATTGAGCTCAGCTTTACAGTTCATTACCAGACGTATCTTTCCATTTCCCAACTGTCTAAACGATTCCGATGCAGATCATATCGAAGATGAGTAGTGTAACTTACAAGCCGGTTCGTCGTGCCTCCTGTCGCCTCCCAAAAAAGCCAGGGTCCCCAATTCGAATCATGTTCACGTATACGAGTGTCGGCTTCACAGTTCCAGTTCAGCACTGTAGTTTATTTTTTTAAATCGGCAAATGCATTTTGATGAGGTAAATAAAAATGATGTATACATTATTGTTTGCATACAGCACAGCGTGTTGCGGTCGAATCTTTGCATGTGGTGACCGATCCTGCTGCTGACGTGGTGATGCGCGCGAACTAACGTTACCTGACCTGGGGTGTTGGGTCACGGGGACTAAAGTTCGGACGTTCAGATGTTAATTAAGAAGATTAAAATGAGGACGGCTTGAAATGAATCTATTAAACCTAATTAATCCATCGGCTTGTAGCGCGGCGTGGTAGATTTGGCAATTTAATCTCAATTTATGACGTTAGGCGACAAAATTAATATCAAACACATCCGACCGCTGAAATTTAGTCGGTCCTACCGTGGTGGGTGGCTTGGCAGGTACAAGGACGGCTCGGCGGCGCGCGGCGTGGTGGGCACCGACTCGGCGACCATCGCGCTGTCCTCCGGCAGCGGCGGCGGCGGCGGGGACAGCAGCGGCAGGCGCGCGAAGCTGCAGGGCGTCGTGCTGGGCTGCACCGCCACGTACGACGGGCAGAGCTTCCAGTCCTCGGACGGCGTGCTGAGCCTTGGCTACAGCAACATCTCCTTCGCGTCCCGCGCCGCCGCGCGCTTCGGTGGCCGCTTCTCCTACTGCCTCGTGGACCACCTGGCGCCGCGCAACGCCACCAGCTACCTCACCTTCGGTCCCGGGCCCGAGGACCCCGCCGCCTCTTCCAGCTTTCGCCCCAGCGCCCGCCGCGCAGACGCCGCTGCTGCTCGACCGCCGGATGAGCCCGTTCTACGCCGTGACGGTGGACGCCGTGTGCGTGGCCGGCGAGGCGCTCGACATCCCCGCGGACGTGTGGGACGTCGACCGGAACGGCGGCGCGATCCTCGACTCCGGGACCAGCCTCACCATCCTCGCCACCCCGGCGTACAGGGCCGTGGTCGCCGCGCTCAGCAAGCACCTCGCCGGGCTGCCCAGGGTCACCATGGACCCGTTCGAGTACTGCTACAACTGGACGACCGCCGATGGCGCGAGCGCGCCGGAGATCCCCAAGCTGGAGGTGCGCTTCGCCGGGTCCGCGCGGCTGGAGCCGCCGGCCAAGAGCTACGTCATCGACGCGGCGCCCGGGGTGAAGTGCATCGGCGTGCAGGAGGGCTCGTGGCCCGGGGTGTCGGTCATCGGCAACATCCTGCAGCAGGAGCACCTCTGGGAGTTCGACCTCAGGGACCGGTGGCTCCGGTTCAAGCACACGCGTTGCGCCCTATGATGATTGATGACGGACGCCGCGCGGCATGATTTGTCTATCGTCTTGATAAAATTGTAACGACAATGGAGGGAGTGTTTTTTCTGAATGAAAAGATCATTTTTAGCGCAATGGCAAATCGTTCACCTGAAATTAAACGCGTTTCTGCTCGTGTTCACTGCAGAGATGCTCCTCAACACGCATCTGTTCGTTTTTTTTTCTTTTGGGCAAAGGCGATCACATGAACACAAGTTACGCAACGCGCACAGATTCTGAAACAAGAAAGCACAGATCCTGAAACAAGAAAGAAGAAAACATGGACCATGTGAATGAACTCAACTATGCAAACCCGGCTCACACAACATGATACAGATACAGTGTGTATGTGCACTCAAGAAAATTATAACATGTCAACGGGACGGTGTTCCACGACGCATAAGTATTTACTTGTTACTAATAAAAAATCCAAAAGTTTAGCATGCGTTCTTCCTTAGATCCCTTCTTTTACTCCGATAGTATTGCGGATCAAAATCGATGCAAAGAAAATGAATGCATTTCCATACTATAATAAAAAGTAAGTGTAATAAAAATAGAATTAGATCATATCACATGACTTATTCCATTTATACTCTATAGGATCTTACGGAGCCTGTTCATGGTCGTGGAACACCGTCCTTTGAGATGTTATTGTCACACATTAACCATTGTGATTTGACTGCCAGTTTGAGTTCCTTACGGATTTAAAGAAGCGAATATGACGTGTTGTGTTGTACTGTTGCTGCTGCTGCTTAATCCTTTAGAGTTGTCAAACCATTGTACTGCCAGTTTGAGTTCCTTATTCTTTTAAGATAAATCGGCAGCTCTCCTGCACCCTTTTGTTTCAAAAAAAAGAAAGAAAGTGGAAGGCAACGTTGGTTTCAAGTTACATGCTACAAGGATTTTCAATGATCAGGCAAACAATAGGTTCGTGTGATGTACCGGGGCCTATTTAGCCTTATCCAAACAGGTAGGAGCTAATAAAGAGGCTATCCGCGCATTAGTACATATACAAAAGGGTGCTAAGAGCATATGGAGAAGTTTAGTATATTTTACTTACTAATAGATCTATACTAAGTTAACAAAAGAAATAACAACCTTAATTTTATTCTTGTCCAAAAGTATGCTAGAATAGTTTACTAAACGATTTTATATTGAAACCTCAAACTATTTCTCACAAACAAATATTTTTTAATAGTTCTTTCTCTTATCGATTTCACACATGCAACCCTTTATTTTCTTAATTCACTCATGCTTTCAATTTACTCATGCTTTCACACATGCAACCCTTTATTTTCTTAATTCACTCATGCTTTCACACATGCAACCTCAAACTATTTCTCACAAACAAATATTTTTAATAGTGCTTTCAACAAAAATGTCAGACGTGGAGTGGATACAAAGTTACTCTCGACTACAGAAACTTACGAGTTGGAGAGGATTTTTGACATTTTTTTATCTTTAAAGAGCTCTTTTTACCAAATTGTTGGCATATATATTTTTTCCTTTTCTGCTAAAAAATAAAAATAGAAAGTTGATTTACAAAACTCCTGAAGATGCTCTAATTCGGGCTAATTTTATCTAGCCATTTATTAGCCAATTTAAAGATGCACCTAGTATGTCCTATGTTGAAATTCCGATAAGCTTTATGTCGGGTTCATAAACCGGGGTCCCCAATGGACCCGCTTTCCTGCAAAAACTCGGCCCAGACGGCATAGCGACAATGCTCACCTCCTAGGCCGGCCCAGATACATAATGACCGCCAAGACAACGATCCGGTCCCCGACCGGAAGGCCTGGCCAAAATAGGACCACGGTCCGACTCCGACCTCATTTTCCGACCGGGGATACGTCGGATCTCTGCTCGAAACTCTTACCCGATCGACACGGTCGGGGCCGACTGGGAATGACTGATCGGGACGCCTGTTCGGTGTCATCCACGGACCAGGCGAAGCAGATAAGGTAAGGCACTCAAGTTAACCGCAATACCGAGGACCGTACTCTGCCATGCCCTGCGCACCTGCAGGACGGTGCCATCAAGCCATGCCAGACGGGCACTATGCAACCTTCCAAACGTGCCAGTGCACAAACAGTATTATAGGCGCCGACGTTTGTCGTACCAGGCGAACACGGTAGAGCCTACCACATGCGTCTGGACATAAATAGTATTGTGAGCACCGACGACCGTCTCGTACCCGACAGCATGGGCAACAAGACTAGATAGCACACGTATCCATTCTCTCTTTCTTTGACTTGTAAAGGCCATCCCCTTCAACTATAAAAGGGGATACGCTCTCTCCTCTCTAGGGGACGTTCTTTCTGGCTCTAAACAACCTGAGCATTCGAACAGCTCAATGGTTCTAGAACCCAACAGCTACACAGAGCATACGCTCCAACACTTAGCGCATGTTAGAGCACCCGTCACTCTGGCCGCTTCGGTTCAGAGTCTGACCCTTTAACACCTCCTTCTCATTCCTACTCGTTTGTAACCTCATAGCAAACTTTGAGCACCTAGGCTCAGGAATAAAGTCATCGACTGACTAAAACTGGACGTAGGGCACGTTGCCCGAACCAGTATAAATCATGTGTCATTGAGTGCTAGGCCACATCCGATCACAACGCACGACAAAACTACAAATATTTACTTGTTGGTCACTTTTCGCACCGACAGTTGGCACCGTTCGTGGGGAGGACGTCGTGCATTCACGCTTTTGGTCATCGGATGGCCCACCTTTCCACCATCTTCGTCATGGCAGGCTCGAGCGATACGATTCGCTTCGGTTCGCTGGAGTTTCCTGCGCTCCCATCTGTTGGGATGTGGGTTCCTCCCATCTTTCAGCCGCTCTAGACTTTCCTCTTTGGGAGTCTAGACTTTGTCGTCGACTGGCTCAACGCACTACGCCTCCATGAGGAGGCACTCATCTCGGCATCCACTGGAGGAGGAGCGCTCTCCACCGGTCGTGGGCCACTCGACGACCCCAACATTGAGACACTCACGCTTCGCCTCAAGCCCATGCTGGGCTCAAACCCCACGGTGAGTGATGTACATTTTATTCTTTACTCACTATTTAATACCTTCCGCTGACTCTCCGGAGGGACCCTGTTGTCCCCGCCACGACCGCCGTGTGATCGGTTCCCCTATGGCTTTGCGTCCCTAGGGACGCGTACGCGCGGGAGATCCAAAGGATGCTGACGCCGCCCCCTCCCACATCCGAGTTCGTGGGGATGGTGGGCTATGCTCTCGCCTCCTTTCACGGCCTAGTCGATGACGAGGTCAAAAGCGATGGCTCTAGCGTCGGCGATGTCGTGGCACCTGACCACCCTTTGTCCTAGGAGTATGCTATGGCGAACGCCCTGGGATAGCCACCGGTGGTAGCAGAGTCTCTATAGACTCACACCCCTCTGGACCTTCATGCGAAGGCCCTTACGCGTGCGCTAGGAGCACGACAAGGAGTTACGACAAAGGCGGCAGAGCCAGCCACCGCCTACGCTAGCGTGCTCGGCGCAGCATGTTGCACCATGTGCGCGTAACCCAGCAAGCGGCGCTCCCGTCAGGTCCAGCGTAACATCCTGGATGGAGGGGACGACCCCCCTCAGTTTGCTATGGTGGGCCAGAACATCGCTGCTCCGGCGATGCTTCTACGCGGCCTCCCCGAGCCTACCGACCCTAGGAACAGGCAATCCACCGGAACCTTTGGGCGCTGGTGGAGACTGCCGCCATTCAGCAGGCGGAAAGCTCGGCGTCGCGACACCGGCTCATGGCCTCTTGCCCAACCGGAGGTCTAGGACCGCACCAGTTGAATCGCTCCGTCGCTCACCACTGCTGTTTCCAGGTATGGGGCAGGAAGCCGCGGCTGCACCATAGCCCGACCCGAAGCCCGCTCCTCACTGACCACCTATGCGTGAACGCCTCGGGCCAAACCATGATGCTCATAGTGTCATCAGCAATCGACGCCATGCCCGGCATGATGATGATGTCCATCGAGTGGCGGTGAGAGCAGGCGCCATGGGCCACCGCCTAACCATCGACGGATGCGGGACATGCACCCTAGGCATGGCGGCCGACCGAATGACTTTAGCCCCAGCCTATACGGCCCAAGGCCATGGGCCTTCGGTTGTTGCATCCAGAGAGGACCGTTCCCACAGCGCTTCCGACCACCCACCTACATCGCTAGATACACCGAGGAGACCAACCCCGGTATATGGCTCAAAGACTTTCAGCTCGCCTGCCGAGCCGGAGGAGTGGATGATGACCACTTCATCATCCAGTACCTCCCCATCTGCGTGGGGGAGCATGTTCGAGCATTACTTGAATTCCTTTCGCCCGACAACATCTACGACTGGGCGGATCTCAAGAGGGTCTTCGTTGACAATTTCCAGGGGACATATGTTTGTTCTGGGAATTCCTAGGACCTCAAGAGCTACCAATAGGAGCTTAATGAGTCCCTATGAGATTACATTCGTAGGTTCTCAAAGCAGTACAACTCCCTTCTTGATGTCATCGACGCGGACGTCATCAGCGTGTTCCTCTCTGGGACAACCTATAAGTCCTTGATCCACAAGCTCGGCTGTGTGAAGCCCTGTACCACCCACGACCTGCTCGACATCACCATGAACCACGCCTCCGACAAGGAGGCAGTCAGGGCGGTCTTCAGCGACGGTTGGGATAAGGGCAAGGCCAAGCACGAGGATCAAGGCAAGGGCCCCTCTACACAAAAGGGGAAGAAGAGCAAGAAGGATCGACGATGACCGACCAACTCAGCCTTGGTCATCGTCAGCCGATCGTGCGGGCAAGCAGCCCTAGCAGGGCTAGACCGACCACTTCGATAAGGTCATGGAGAGTCCATGCACCAACCATGCCTATCCTATCAAGCACCTCTTTATAAGGACTGCGAGCTCCTCAAGTGCTTTCTGCGGCAGGTCAGCAAGCCAAAGGAAGGAAAAGCAAGGAGGAGGCGCCCAAGAAAGGAGGCACGATGGGCAAGGATG